ATATTTTTTATATTTAAAGTGAGTTTTTTGGGCAGTGTAGAGTAGGGCTTGTTGTTTGTCATTTCTCCGATCACAAATGCAGACGTGGTTTTATGTTTACGCGGCACGATGCAACGCAATGCGTAAAAAGACAGTATAAGTCATTATAATCCGTAATTATGTCCCCACTGGATGCAACAAATGCCTCGTTTATAATGGGTTATCACAATATGGTAAGGCATCACAATATGGTAAGCGGCATAACATTTCCGTCACACACTTGAGGTATTCAGCCAATCACAGCGCACTGGATAGCTGGCCAATCAGAGCACACCTTGCTTTTCAGACCGATGAGCTTTGTAAAAATCGACGCGTTTCGGAAAGGCGGGGCATAGAGGAGAAACAATAATGTACAGTATGTGGAAAATAATGTGTTTTTAAACCTTAAACCGCATAAACACATTTCATTACACCAAATACACAAAATAATGTTCTTTTTAGCAGCATCATATAACCCCTTTAAATTTACATTCATTTTGCATGAATCCTGTTGGTGACTTATGGCTGTTTTGTCACATTTCTGTTGTTTAGGAGGACCTGAGTGAGACCGTGGTTCAGGGTGATGTCCATCCAGGCTACGTGGGCACCGCATGCCTCTTGTCATCTTTTTTCGTGGAGAGTGGCAAAGATCAGGGTGTGGTCACACTACCCATCATGAGCCGAAATGCCAGACAGACAATTGGAAAAGTTAGAGGTATAATCAGTACCACAATGCACTGATGTTCAAAGTCTAAACATCTCATTTGTACACCATAAAACTAATGCACATTCCTGCCGCTCATGATGGAATCTGTTCTTTCACTGCATGCATACAACATTTGCCTCTGTAAACACGTCACAGACTGATAAAGGGTAAATAAAGGGTAAAGTATCATGCTGGCAAGATCCACGCTGCTTGCATTGTTGCTAAGTAGCTAGATAATGTGATTATGATGCCATTCATTTATTGATGTGCTCATTTCATTAAATGTAGGCTACGTTTACACTAGTGCGTTTTCGTTTTAAAACGGCGTTTTAAAATGAAAATGATCCTCGTCTACACTAGCGTTTTCACTGCATTTCAGAAACGATCTCCGTCCACACTACAAAACTGAAAACGCAGGTCACATGACCATTCATGCAGGTACAACAATGAGCATGATGTTATTGTTTACACGGTCTTCAAGGATACACAGAGCGAATGTGGGCAGCACGCCATCATTTTCAAAAGCCTCAGTTTTGGTCCGTTTACACTGAAACACAACCCCAGAGTTTTCAAATTAAAACGGGGTCTGCAGCGTTTTCGAAAGGCTTTGTTTTCAAGGGTCGAAAACGCTGAAGTAGTGTAAACAACAAGCGTAACTGTAGCAAAAGTTATGCGTTTTAAAATGAAAACGCACTAGTGTAAACGTAGCCTTAAGCATTAAGTGTTGACTTCACTAATGTAAATGATTAAGTATTGACTTAAGTAAATGCTTTTATTCTTGATGGGATTTCAGTGGATTACTTGGTGACACGTCCTATTCAAGACTTTCAGTGTGACATGAGGCAGTCTTTTACCAAATACTGGAAGAAAAGGAGCGCTTTGGATGTTGGACACAGAGGAGCAGGAAGCACACTTGCTCCCAAGTGAGTAGCAACAGGGTGGATGATCGGAATGTCGGCATGCTGCTACAAGAATCCTGAGCCTGTCCGCTTGGATTTAGTGTTTGTCCTAATGGGTAGGCCCACAAGGCATCTGTGCAAGATTTTTACAGAGGGGAAAAGTGATGTCTGTGTCACATTTCACCAAAATTAAAAGTGGTATTTTCTCCTAATTACCCTAATTTTTAGGACCATTAAGATTTTGCATTGCAAATTAGGCAGGAGGAATATGTGCTTTATTGTCATGATAATAATGTCACAATGCAAATTAATATTTTTTATTTAACTACAATTTTCAATTACAAATAGTTACAATTACTATTTCACAATAGTAAAATCCATTCAGATCCCCTGACAATTTGCACTGAAATTGTAAGTTAAAAAAATAAAAAATTTGACCTCAGTCCTATGTTTTTTTTTGGTGTTGTTTTTTTTTTTTTTTTTTTAAGTTTAACAAATGTTGCTTTTCAGTCATCTAAGGTGTGTATTGACTCTTGAATTTGTGTACAGCCTATGTAACAGGCTCTGTAAAAAAAACTGTAAAGTATGAAAACACAACAAGCACATCTGAGGGTTGCTGCATGAACAGAGTTTGAGAGAGAAGTGCATGTTTAACAGAAAGAAATATGTTGCTGAAAGAAAATACGATTCTCGTTTATTTCAGACATCACAAGATAAGGGAAAACACAATTGCCTCGTTTCTAAGTGCGGCCAACCATGTGAGTAAATAAAAAATGCAACTCAACCAAAATACATACAATTTTGTTATGGCATATCTGTTTTTTTTTCACAGGGAGCTGCTTATGTAGAGTTTGATGTTCATCTATCTGAAGATTTAGTTCCAATCGTGTACCACGATCTCACCTGCTGCATTTCTATTAAAAAGGTAACATTTACATTTTGCTCCTATTACTTGACAGTGAAAAGTCACCATTTGAACAACTAATTTTGTGTCCTTCAGTGTAGCTTTTGTGTTGACTCAGATTGAAGACTTCCTACTTAAACTTTTCAAATTCAGACTTGAACAGTCATAAACTCTGATTAAAACTGCAAAACAAAAGGAAGAAGGATAATATCTTCCCTTGTGCTTTACATTTCTTGTGTTCTTTTATAGAAAACTGACAAGAACTCAATGGTATTGTTCGAAGTTCCTGTCAAGGATCTTACATTTGATCAACTTCAGCTTTTAAAAGTAAGACTTTCAAATTCTTTTACTGTGAATGATCAATGAAATGCAATTATCTCCATGTTGATATTGATGAGTGCGCATGTGTTTGTCTTTCCAGCTCGTCCACACAACTGCCATGGAAGTTCATGACCACAAAGGTAGAATTTGATTGATTTGTGTACAATACAAATGCAGATCATTATATAACAACTTGTCAAACTAGCTGATGGATTTAATGACAGATTAATGTGCAGTGTTTTGTCTGTTTAGGTTTTGTTGAAGAAGAGTGTACCTATAAAGAGCAATAGTCAGGCTCCAAAAATCAAAATCTCATTCAAAATCTCCATAATGATTTTTTTTAGCGATAAGTATTAAATCTTTCAAGACAGACCAGTTATTAGCTTTGAGTTTGTTAAACAATGTTTTACACCTATTTCACCTAACATTAGTTTGGAGGGGGGGGTTAAATTCTTTTTTTGCTGTAAATCAGTGCTGTTATTTATCTCTGATCTAGTTGGTATGGTTTATGGCTTAAAACCCAAGCCTCTGTTGAGCTGTATCGAGCTAAATAAACAGTTAACTGTTGAATAGATAAAGATGATTGTTTGTGTGGTGTTACTTTGTCTAGACTTGCAGGATGAAGAGGAGTATATAGATGAGCACCAGCCTTTCCCTTCCCTTTCACAGGTATGACAGCTTTATTTTTTCATATAAAACTTTGACCTCAGGAATATATATATATATATATATATATTTTTTTTTTTTTTTTTTTT